GTCTTGGGGCCTTTGCACTTGCTGATTCCTCTGCTTTGAATCCTACTCCCCAACGAGACCCCCATTGTCAACCCATATCTACATAGTTCTCTCCCTCCCTTCCTTCACATCTCTGGTTGAAAGTCACCTTATCAGTAAGGCCTTTCCTGACCACCCTATATAAAATCATACAGCAATCTTCTTATCTCTCACTCTGCTTTGTCTTTCTCCATACACTTATCCCCATCTATGTGATTGCATACTAGTTGATTTATTTATTGTCTGCATCCTCCCATTTGACTGAAATCTCCATGAGGTCAAGGACTTTGTTTTGTTCACTGTTCTATCTAGCACAGTGCCTAGAACAATGCTTGGTAAGTAGTAGCTGCTCAATAAGGATTTGTTGAATGAATGAATGAATGAATGAATATTTAAATACTCTTCTGTAACTTGCAAAATACCCTCCTTGCTCCTTAGAAAACTCAAGGTGTACTTAATCAAAACTGTGTCAAAATAAAGATATTTCTAGAAATTACTGAATTGAACTGTTTGAAACTTCATTTGTAAATGCTCTATGGTAGCTTTTTTTGTTGTTGAGGGGGGTGCTTAGTGCCCTGGTGCTGTTGTTCTAAATATTTTTGGGGTATGGAAACTTTTGAGAAATAATGTGGACCCTTTCTCGAGAAAAATATTCAAATGCACAAGGTTTTGCATGTAATTTTACGGAGGTCGTGGACTGTCTGAAGCTCCTCTGTTGAACGCTATTAGGTCTATAAGCCTATCATCTTTCAAAGCTGGCCTGGGCCCCATATAATTCCGAGCCTGGGCTGCACTGGGAACGTGATCTTTTTACTCCTTTGATGCCCTAGCTTATTCAGCTTCAGTGGGAGGTGTAGCTTAAGATTTGATCCCTCTGCAGGTCAGTTCCTCACCCTTCAGCATGATCACCAGTCTCATTTGCTCAAGCAACACTTTGACTTTATATTTATCACACATAATTCTAAGCTTTAGAACAGTTACTTTGTGGTAAGTATAACTGTTCCCCAACTTAGAATTATGTGTGATAAATATAAAGTATTCAGACTCAGCACTTATGAATTTCTAGATAAATTGCTGAGTATGCTATTAAATCCTCACTTGTGGTCATCCTGCAACACGTACACAGAATAAACACAATTTAGGATGCACAAAAGCAAAATGCTGTTCACTGCTAAGCTTTCTGCAGCCCTCCATACTATCGAAGCCACTTTCACTGAGGTTACTAATGACTCTTTAATACTAAGGCCAATGGCCTAGGAGTCACTCTACTCAATTTCTCTGTAACATCTGACATTGTTGGTTACTGCCTCCCTTATGAAACTTTCATCTTTTTATGGCTTCTTTGACACTGTTTTCTCCGAATTGTCATGCTGCCCACTCTGGCCACACCCTAGCCTCCTTCCTTGTCCGATCTTCTTTATCAGGCTCAAACCAGGATGTTCCCTTGAACTTCTTTCCATTTTGGTGTATGCTCTTTCCCTGGGCAGACTTACCAGGACTTAATTATCACCTAAATGTGAATGGCTCCCCAGTCTTCAGGCTTGCTCTCTCTTTCCAGCGCTCTAGATCTGTATTTCCAATTGAAGTATTGCATTTCTCATAGATTCCTAACTATCGAACACATCCAATAATGCCCCAAACTTGCCTTCCACTTCCATTCCTTATGGCAGCATCATCAACCCAGTCACTAGAGTTAGAGTCACATGTCACACCTCTTTCTGTCCATCACTACGACTGGCCTGGGACATTCCATCAACAGGCAGCATAATGTAGTGGTTAAGAGCAAGGACTCTGGAGCTGGATTGCCAGGGTTCAAACCCAGCCCCACCACTTACTAGGTAGGTGAACTTGAACCAGATTTTTAACAGCTCTGTCTCAGTTTACTCATCTCTAAAATGAGGATAATGCTAATAGCTACCTCCTGTGGTCCTTGTGATGATTAAATAAGTTTGTATTTGTAAAGCACTTGGAACAGTGTCTGGCACGGAGTAAATGTTACATGGGTGATTGCTAATAAACTGGTCTCTAGTTTGCCCCCACTCTATCCATTCTTCACACTGCTAACAGAAGTTTTTGAGGGGCTGCCAATTATTGAGTGGTCAACCAGAGGCCAGTCATTGTGGGAAGTACTTTATATACAGGATCTCATTTAATCCTCATAACAACCTGTTAGGGAGGTGTTATTCCCATTTGAGAGACGAAAAAACCGAGGTGTTAAGCGCTAACGTACTTTGCCCAAGGTCACACAGATTATCAATGCCAGGGCTGGGATTTTATTTCAGGTCTGTCTATTCCCTGCGCTAGTGTTCAAAACCAGGAAGCTATATTATATTGCTTTCCCAAGCCTGAGTTAGTCACTTATTCCTTCAAAGATCCCGCACTGCCTATACTGTCATGATCTATTCCTTCACAATCTTGTTCCCACTTAACTTGACTTCCTGAAACTTCCCTCTATGTAAACTGCCTTTTCCTCCTTCTTCCCTCTCTCTCTCCCTTCTTTCTTTCCCTTATTCCTTCAACATTTATTGAATGTTTGAATGCCAGGCACCATGCTAAATTGGGGAAAACAGGAGAAATGAGCAATTTGTCTTCACAGAGCTCATAGTCTGACACAAATTATTATTGACAATACGTTGAGGGGAGTGCACCAAGGGGATATGGGACCCAGATTGAGGAAAAGAGGGGATAAGGAGAGTTCCCCTGAGGAGGAACCTTAAAGGATACTCAGGTCAGACAACTTCTTGCCATTCTCTAACAATACTGACTTCTTGCCTTTTGCCTCTGAGATTTTTGGGGTGTCTTTCTCCCTGTCAGATCATTGTTTAAGACTGTATTTCAAAACCACTTTCTCTGGGATGCTATCCTTTCCTTCCCAGTCAGTTGGATGTTGGTTTCCTTGTACATGCCTCAGTTACAGCACACATCGCATTGTAGTCTAGCTACTGGTCTATTTGCCTGCCTTTCTGACTGGATTGTGATGTCCTCCAAGGAAAAGACAGAGTCTTATTCATTTTTGAACTGTCCTTCATTTCCCAAGTGGCAAGACTGGCATATCATAGTGTTCAATACAGTTTTGTTAAATGAAGAGTTATTTGCCTATTTACAAAAGAAAGTGTAAGGCAAGGGGGCCTTCTGATTCAGAGTAAAACTATTCAGTCCACCATCGTCATTCGCACTACCTAGCACAGAAAGTAGGTGCTCTGCAGAAAGTAGGTGTTCAATAAATACTAAGTATGTGATGGTTCTGTGAGTGAAATATCTGATGCAATGCTAGGAATGAGGAAACATTATTAAATATGCTTTTGGAGATAAATTAAGATTTTCATGTCCAACTGAGTGTCAGGGCTCTGGATCAGCCATGAGAAAAATTAAGAATTGTTGGTTATAGAGTATTGAGGATTTCCTTTCTTCCCTGGGTTGGACCATGGTTCCAGAATCTTGTGTACAGTTAAGGCACCAAGATATGCTTCTGTTGGGAGAAGGATGCCATGGTCTATAGCAGTTGCTGCCCAGAGTCTACCATTCTAGTCCGTATTCGGCTAAAGGCTCAGCTATCACTTTTGCAGCTGTTCCTGGTTCCGTCTTCCTAGGCACACCATGCAGTCATTTCCTCTCTGTGGTTGTTCCTCCTTCCTGGGAGTGTAGCCCTCTCTTTTGCCTCTCTCTTTCTCTTGGCAACATTGACCTCCAGTAGAGGCAGCACAGCGAAATTGTTGTGGTGGCCAGAGGGCTATGGTGCTGAGGTGTGGAGAGTCCTTACTCCTTCTCTTTTTCTTCTTCTTTTTTGACCCTGATTACCCTTTCACTAGAAGTTGAGGCTTTTGTACAACAAAAGTCAGAAAGACTCATAGCCTATGCCTATTTTCCATCATGCCTCATGCCTCTTTTGAGGAAATGATTGCAGAACCCCTACTAGCATGAATTAAGAGGGAGGGAAAGGGGGAAAATACATGGAGGTAAAAAGCCAACAGTAGATACTGATAGCTCAGAATACTGTCCTCATCACAGTAGTCCGCTAATCTCTTTGAGTCTCATCAAAATTGTGAGAATTAAAGGACGAAGTACGTGGAAGGGGTTTAGAATAGTGTTTGGTACATGGACAGTGAGTGCTTACTAAACATGAGCTATTATTATCCAGGGCTCCTCCACTCAGGAAAAGACCCGGGTTTCTGTCCCAACTCAGGTCCTCCAGGACAATCTCTCCTACACTCATAGTGCCAAGCTGTGTGAGTGATCTATTCCCCGTGCTCCTTGAAGACAGTTCTGCCTGGATGCCAGACCCAGTTCTGGTCTCCCTAGGGGTGGGGTTACTATCGTACCTCTAGGGGATTCTCTTTCCTCTCAACATTGATTTCCCTCTCAACCGCACTCCTAATCTCTAGGAAGCTCAGCCACAAGTCAAGGTGGTACCCTCCCGTCCTGGTTTGGGCCCAGGTGTTGTTACTGGTCTTTCTGGTAGCCCATGGGACTAGATAATTACACTAACATTCAGAAGCAGCATGCCAATTTTGGCACTGATGTCTTTAATTAAATTCAACAAGTATTTATTGAGCACCTAGAGCGTGTAAACTACGGTTCCTTTAAATATATTTGGCCCTTAACTATTTAGTCTGTTTCAGTTACTCAACTTGGACTAATCCTGATCCATCCTTAACGGTTTTATGAAGAATAAATATTAAAACGGAAAAATATTGCTACAGTTCTTTGCAAAAATAAATGTCTCGTGTGGATTATTGTTGCTACAGTATTAATATTAATTGCAATAACAACACTGCTGCTTCCCAAGCAGGCGGTAGAGAGCAGCTGTAACGCCAACAGGAGGCAGACGGAAGAGGTCAGGGGAGGTGCCTCCAGCACGTCCGGCCCAGAAGGGGCGGGGCCTTCAGGAATGTACCCCAACCCCACCCCTTACTCCGCCCCTTTCGTCGTGCGGCGTAGGCGGTTACCATGGCGATGACGTCTAGAGGGCGGGGCGGGGCGGGGCTATGGAGAGGAGGAGGAAGATGGCGGGAGGGCGGCTCTGAGGAGACCTCGGCGGCGGCGGAGGAGGAGAGAAGCGCAGCGCCGCGCCGCGCCGGGGCCCATGTGGGGAGGAGTCGGAGTCGCTGTTGCCGCCGCCGCCGCCGCCGCCGCCTGTAACTGCTGGACCCGAGTGGGAGTGAGGGGGAAACGGCAGGATGAAGTTCGCCGAGCACCTCTCCGCGCACATCACTCCCGAGTGGAGGAAGCAATACATCCAGTATGAGGTACCGGCGGCGGCCCGGGTGTGGGAGGACTCGGAGGGGCCGCCGTCTCTCCAGTCCCGACCTCCACCGCCGCCTTCCGCTCCCGCTCCCGCCCCGCGCCCGGGCGGACTTTGCCCCGGTGCCGCGGGGAGCCACTGCGGCATCCCCGCCGCGGCCGGCCCCCTCCGGGCCCCGCTGACCTTCCCCTCCCCCGCAGCCCCGCCGCCGCCGGGGTAACGGATATGCAGGCGGCGGGCCGGGCGGGAGGGCACAGCCCGGCCGGGGCTGGGGAACGGTGCTGGAGGGCGAGCCGCAGGTGGGGGCGTCGGGGTGAGGGCGGCCCGGGGTCGCGGGGCGTCCGCGCCGATGCCCCCTGCCTGAGCGCCCTGACCTCGCGTCCCCACCCTGGGCGAGCGCCCCCTCGCCAAGGTTAGGTCTTGCTTCTCTGCTCACCTCTCGCCGAGGAATCCTCCTCTTCCGAGAGGAGCCCCTCCGGTGATTTCCTTCATTCCACAGAGCCCTTCGGCTTTCCCCCGCTTGCCCAGTGTTGACAAAGGCTTTGTAGCAGGGTTGAAACTTGATTTAAACGTCTATCACATAGGCAGTGGTTACAGGATGCAAACGGATTGGAATCAACTATTCTGTTTTGATAACAAGACGGGGACTTGTCTTTTTACTGATTGCATGAAGTGTACAAAGTAATCCCGTCTTTGGTTTGGGCTGTTCTGTTGTTTTGGAATAGAGTGAAGGGGGAAGAGGAAGGTGGAAAGAAGAGAATTATTAAAATTTTCAGCTTCTCTTTCCTAAAATTTTTGTTAGCTAGGGAGCAAAGTACTATATTGTAAACAACGTACTTTTAAAACATACTTGTGTATTATAGAAGTCATGCCCCCCCCCCCCCCCCAATTTCTGTGATAACAACTCCTGGGGGGTATTTAAAAGATAGTGATGAGGAACCTAATATTGATATGGGGGAAAAGTAAAGATAATGAACCCATTTATATATTCAGAAGGCAGGATACCTGAGGGGCTTTAAGCATTGCAGTAGGTTATTCTCTGTAGCTGGCAATTCAGCTCCTGGATAGAGAAAGAAAGACTTATCTATAACCTCCAGGAATTCACATCTGTGTTATGTGCAGGAACAAAGAGTATAAAATCAATATGAACACGAATATGCTGGTTAGATTTTATGAACTAAAATCTTTTAGTTCTCCATTTAATTTCTATTTAAGTTCAGTGATAGGATGTTTAGGCAATAACATGAGTTTATTTATTTATGTAGCATTTGTAATGATTGAAGAAAACAGGGAAAGGGTAGATGGGCTAAACAGAACCTAGCAGATTGTAAAATAAACTCACTTTGTAATATACAGAATTTGATTATTGCCAGAAATGAAAGGCCTAGAATTATTAATGCTTTCTTGTCAATTAATTTTCTTACAGTGTTTTGTGGCTACATTTTGTGAGAATGAAATAAGAGACTAGCTTTTCAGCCTGTAGAGTTTTTGATTTATTGTTTCTAATAACATTCGGTCAGTTTTAAAACCTTGGCTAGAGTCCAGACGATGGTTTTTATTGAAAGGAAGGTATTGGTCTTTCATCTTTTTAGTAGTAATTTTCAGCACCACTGCCAGTTCTTCATAGAGGCACAGAATACAGCATGCTGAAGCAACATCTTATAGTTGTTATGTGGTATGGAATGCTTGGTTTGGGCAGAAGTAATAGTGGCTGGTTGTATGCTATGATTCATTTTAAGTATTACAGCACTTAATTGTTTCATAGAATTGTATTAATTTGGAATATCTGGGGCTGGAAGGGGAAGCATAAGATTTAGTTTGAAAATGCAATTACCTTTTGATTTGTAACGTCAGCTTTGTGACCATAGTAATCACAGTAATTCTGGGACTCCTCATTCATAGACTCCATTTGGATATTGGTCCTGAATGGTTACTCTAGGTGGTCACAGAGGGACAAAATTCCTGGGCATATGTGTGAGTGCATTATCTTTCCTGGGCCAATTATAAATTATTTTTTGAAGAATTCATTTATTGTGGATAATTGAAATTTTATTCTGCAGGGAGTCCCTACTGTGTGACTCCTGTTTTGGATAAGCTCATTGTTTGGTAGGCAAAATTAAATAAGGGCCACTTTTCTTTGTGAATTGGAGCCCTTGAAGACATTTTTTATAGGGTTGGGATATGTATTGTATATTGTTTCTCAAGAGCTGGTGCTGTTCTTTTAAAAATACTTAAAGAGGCATCAGTAAGAGTATTTAGAGTCCAGGAATTTTGGCAGCTTAAAAACTTTGGGGAAAAGGGACATCATAAAAGATCTTAGCCTTTGCTAGAGAAAAGAAACTTCTCATAATGCAGTAACACGCAGTTTCTCATGTATGAAGATGATGCTCTTGAAACACTTAGTAGAACACACTTGAATTTGTTTGTCAAGCACTAGTGGTGAAATTTTTGTGTATTGCTCCTGATTTCTAGCCTAGGGTGCTTTCTAGTGCAGTGAACCACTATAACTGTTCAGCTTCTTTCATCTCTGTGTCATTTTGCTATATTAAATTTTATTTGAAATAAGCAGAGCATTAGATAGAAGCTGAAAATTTTGTTTTACATCTGTAATTATATGTATAATGTATACACGGTCACACAGTAAGTGCTAGTTCCTGTATTTGTTAGCCATGAGACCTTGGGGACAATCTTTTTGCCTTTCCAGGGCTCTTTCCTCTTCCATAAAGTAAGAATACAGGGCCAGAGCTTTTCAAGGTCCATTGTAGTTCATACATTTTTGATTTAACTTTTAATGGTTTTTATTCCTTGGATTGCTAAAATTATTAATGTTAGTGACCCATCAGTATCCTAAAAATTATTAGAGTTTCTAATTTAAAAATGAACTGTGGAGTTCATAGACTGAGTCTTCATAGGCAGAATAAAAGAATAAATAAATAAATAAGTAAATGAATAAATAAATAAATAAAGCATAAAAGAATAGAGCAACATGGAGAAACCATATAAAGAAAATCTATTTGATCCACTTGTGAATAGTTTTTACAAAGAACAAACACAAATGAGCAGAGACTATCCAGATGTTGGTCGAGTAATCTATTTGAGTATAAATCTTGGTATATAAAATAGAACATTAATAAATCTTTATAAAAACACTTTTTTAAAATTTAGAATGAGTGATTGTATATTTTAGAGTTCTGTAATTGATTAATCAAAATTAACTTAGACCCGTTGCAACCAAATAGACTAGAATGACCATGTTAATATTTTACAGAATATTAGCAAAAGAAGCAAATATATTTGGTGCCTTAGGCTGCTGACTTGTGTTTTCTTCCCTAGGGTCCTGTGCTGCTTTGGTTTCTCAGGAACCAGGAATGGTTTTTTTCATTGTATATTGTAGTTTCATAAGATACTAAAATAATGAGGTATCCGAATTTCAGGATTTTAAAGTTTAAAGGGAATTTAGAGATTATCTACCTCCTTGTTTTTTCAGGCAGGGAAACTAAGGTTCCAAGGAGGTCAAGTGGCTTGTCCAGAATCATGTGTAGATAGCTAGTCTCTTGAGCAGAGATGTATAAGCATTGGGAGTCACATCACCCTAGCTGTGTGACCCTGAGGAAATCACTTCCTCTTTCTGTGCTTTAGGTTCTTCATCTGTAAAGTGAGACAACTGGACTTAAAGGTTCCTAAGCTCACAGCCCTATATTTTCTATGGACCCATCCAGCTCTAAATTTCCATACTGTTTTTTTTTGGAAGATTATCCCTGAGCTAATATCTGCTGCCAATCCTCCTCTTTTTGCTGAGGAAGACTGGCCCTGAGCTAATGTCTGTGCCCTTCTTCCTCTACTTTATACATGGGACGCCTACCACAGCATGGCTTGTCAAGCGGTGCCATGTCTGCACCCGGGATCTGAACTGGCGAACCCTGGGCCACCAAAGCAGAACGTGTGCACTTAACCGCTGTGCCACTGGGCCGGCCCCGCCATACATTTTTATGGTTTAATTATGTTTGATATATGAAAAGGACAGAACTTAAAGGACTTATTAATAGCGTCCTTTTAAATTAATAGTGTTCTTTTAAAACTTTTGAAGAGAATTAAATCCGTGAATGGAAAGCTGATCCAATGAAGCTGTTTTATTTAACTTAAATGAATAGGAAGTGATAGTCATGGATTGATTTTTTGTTGCAGGATTTGGGAAAGGATAGATTCTGCATAAACTGTGCATCCCTTATTTTCAAGTCTAAGGAAACATTGCTGTAACATTATTGTGATTTTCGTTTATAGAACTCTCCTGTGAGAACACTTGTGTTGCAGGCATCAATTTCCCAAAGGTATTATGTTGATTAGTTAGGGTTAACTTGCCTTGCTGGAACTTGTTTGAAATTTCCAGTTTGGCCACCCGATGGGGCACAAGCCACATTTTTTCTTTCAAGCACTTCTGCAATTGAAAGTACTGTATAGCACATTTAAGATAACACTTGTAAATGATTGTGTCAGTAAGATGCCTGGCATTTACAAATCTTTCTTAAATGAGTGAATGAATGTGGTGTAAGACAGGAAGCTATTACTGTTCTTTATTATCTTTATATAATAAGATGTGTTAGGGTGAGTATCCTGGAAAGATTATGCTTGTCCATGCATCCCTGAAGGTTGGTTTTGGATCAGCTTTTGGTTGAAGGCCCAGATCATAAGAACCTAAGAATCTTATTTGACCTGGGGTCACCGTGGAAAATTAGTCCTGGCTTCAAATCCAGTACTGATTTGGAAAGCGTTTGAGAGACTGACTGAGTTGTGCTGCCTAGGGGTTTCTAGCTCCCAGAGGAGAGTACCCAAAACTCCTATGGAGTAAGAGAAGACAGTATTAGAACTCTTAGTTATGTTCATTTTTATTCATAAGGCAAAGAAGAAATAGAATTTTACTAATATTTGATAAACGGATTGATGCGGTGACCTTGTTTAGGAAGTATTCTGAGGGAAGGAACGAGAAGGATTGTTAATAGTTTCCTCTTGTTTGTTCACTTTCAGCAAATAGCAGTTAATCCAGTTTATGGTTAAATGAATTTATGGATATTATATAATTTTGACTAAACTAATCCTTATAAAATAGATGTGACTTAAAAAAGACTCCTATAAAGAAGCCTCAAAGATTATACCAGTAATGAAGGCACACGTGAACAACAAGAAAATGGCAGGGCTGCTAATTCTACTTCTAGTACTAGCTTTTTGTCAGCCAAACTACAGATACAAACAATGACGCTTTAATAGACTTGACAGGAAGTTTGCCAAAAGATTTCAAAATAATTAAGATAATTCTTTGAAATAAAGTTTTACATCCACTGTCATCCACAGTGAACTTCACCTTAAGTATATATTATGTATTAAGAGTATTCTGCCTTTGTGAGGTCTGTTTTTCAGCTTTTAGCCGTTATAATCTAGTTTCAAAGTTAACTGAATCCTGAAATTTGAAGTACACCTTTGAGATACTGTATTACAAAATGTTAAACTAAGTTTTGTTTTCTGTGTGGTTTGTTTTTTTGTTTTTTGTTTTTTTTGCTGAGAAAGATTCCCCCTGAGCTAATATTTGTGCCAGTCTTCCTCTATTTTGTATGTGGGTCGCTGCCACAGCATGACTGATGAGTGGTGTAGGTCCGCTCCTGGGATCTGAACCTGTGAACCCAGAGCACTAAAGTGGAGTGCGTGAACTTAACTACACCACGGGGCCGGCCCCATAAACTGAGATTTTAAAATGAAGCTTTTCAGTTATATTGTTCTCTAAAAGTATTGTTATTGATGATAATGTCTTAGATTGAAAATATTTTGTACTATTCATAAATGAAAGGTAAAAATTATTTTACCATTGTCTCATCTTTTAAATAAAACTTCTATTTAAAAAAATTTTGTTTTATAGTGTACACAGTTGTAGAAGGATATAATTTATAAATAAGCATACATATATTGGATGTGCATAGTGAACCTTTTTTGTTTTGTTTCTTTTGATAGAGGTGTGACATAAAAGAGTTGGGAAGACTTTGCTCAAGTTGTACAGCTTAACCAAAGCTGGTTTGTGGGAACTGGCTCTTGGGATTGAGAGAGTGTCAGAATTCACTGGGGTTCTTGCCCAGTTCTCTTTGCCTTTGCAGGTCTTCTCCTTACCTCATTAATGCTAAAGAAGCCAAGTAAGCAAAGCTCATCAACAGATGCCTTAAAAGATTGTTCATTCATTCAACAAACATTTATAGGGGTTCTACTATTTGCTGTAGGCTGATAAACTTTTAATTAAATTCTAGCTCTTCATTGTTTTAAAAATAGAAAAAAATAATATTTTTCAGAACATGATTATAAGTTTGGATCACCTGTGTAAATGATATGAAATATTTTTTCCTTAGCTTTTCAAACTTTTGTATTATACATCTTTAAATCTAATTTGTTTATAGGAGGAAATTTAGTTACCTATTTTTTTCCCATCACCAAGCAGGTGTAGTATCTATAGAGGTTGATCAGAAAATCCTTAAAAGGTGTTTATTTATTAGAGGCCAGAGAAAAATATAAATAACTTGCTGTAAGCATAACTTGTGATTTTCACATTCTCTGTAAGAAGAGGGACAATATGTTAAGAAAACATAGTCATCTCTTATTTATTGAGGAT